GCTTATATTTTGTGAGACTCAAGGAATACTCGGGAAAGTTATTTTAAAGGAATCCTTCGCGGAAAATTCTTGCATTCTTTCCTTAACATGAATGTGTCAGTTGTGATCACTGGAAACAGCACACAAAGTTTCACGCATGAAGATTCGGTTTCCGAAGAGAAACAAACGTACAAAAACTACATCTATGGACAATCGAAGGGAGCCAAAGGCGAGGCATGGAAAGAAGTTGGCCTTTGGCCGGCTACGTATCAGGCGACGCAATGAAAGAATCGGGTTAAAGCGCGCGATTTCGGAGAGTAGAGACAAATCGATCGATAGAATAGGATGGAGTAGAAGTGTAAGATGTGAATGCAATAAGCAGAAGGCCAGAAAGAGTTTCTAGTGAAGGCACTCCAAGAACCAAGTGGAAGCATCCCCGTCGCCAGCATTTGTGAAAGACGTCCGTGGGCACTTTGAACGCGTAGCAGCCCTTTCGATTTTTCGATTTTTTTTTACCAAAACAAAAGCAATATTTCTGTTCTTTTCATTCTTATCGTGGATAATGAGTCTCAAGCCAGTGATTTATGGCTGAAATAGAATCATGATTTTTCCGTGAAGGATTCCTTTAAAGGCAAGCCTTGGACTAAAACTAGTAATGTTGCTACGTAGTGATGGATCAGCTGCGGGGTCAACAGAAAATGGAAGAAAAAGCAAGCGAATTCATCGAAAACGCAAAAATGAAGGGTCTAAATGTCAAAAACTGATGAAAATTCGATGTGGCACACTTTGGAAAGTTTAACCGAGGAAGGTAAAACACGTGAAAGACCACGCCGTGTGATAGAGCGCGCTGATCTCTACATCAGTCGTGGTGTGTGGGAAAAGTTGAGATGTTTGCAAGTTCATAAAGGCTAGCGCTCTAACCGCGGACCCAAAACGTTCACTCGCGGCACACTTCCTATTAGTAAGCTGCTCTTCTTAATAATCCCGGGTTTGCCTTTAGTAGCAGAGCACTGCAAGGAAAGCACTGAGATTATGTCACGACTTTTACTCGAAGTTTTCATTTGTTCTGATTGCTCGAACTGCAGCGCAAGGTGCACCATCTGGAATCATAACGGAAGTTTCAACTGGTTTGGGAGCCAGTTGTGCAGTTTACTTGTGAAAATTTCTGTTGATGAAGGCGACACAATGACTTGGGAAAAAGCATCTGGTACTCTTGTTAAGGGCATTAGGCAGGTAGAGTAGACCTATGTAGATGACCACCAACCTACAGATGCGAACACGCTAGGGCGGTCGAGCCTTTCACCTGCTTACGATTAGTGTTGATTGTTTGGTACTAGACTAGCCGTGGAGAATAAGGAAGGATTGGAGGCCAACAGACTACAGGCGAGGGACGGGCTAGAGTTTGAGATTTCTTCACCTTGTTGTTGCGTTGTTCAATAAACCAGTTTAGCTCCGCACGCAACCGCGCGCATCACATGGTGGGCTTTAGTGAAACTGGACAACTTGCAGAATATTAGGTCACGTGGCTGAGAAACTAACAGTAAGATGTTTTGGAAGATGTGTCACATGAAGTTCGAAGGCTGTCTAATTTCGCTGAAGATTGTTTCATTCAGCGGATGAATAATTTTGTGAAATAGGCAAGTGGGCTGTTTTCGAAAAAAATTGGAGAAATTTTTCATATGTCCAAAAAACCTTTTTAGGATCACCGCAACATGCGAGTTTTCAGACAAATAATGGGTGGATGTGTGCACGTATTATCCGGAACAGTGTAATTCAACCTGGGCCAGCGTGTCAGAGCAGAGGTGGTTCGAGTGTCGTTTAATCTACTTTCCAGGCACGACAACATTTACTATAAAACCGTGATATCGAGAGCATGCAACAAGTACCTTCCTCGAAATAGGAGATCCCATAGAGTAACCAATTACATCTACACGTTTTGGTGATGAACGCCGCCACTGCTTGGTATTAATGAGCGGATCTGAAAACAGTGAATTAGTTACGGAAATTTGTATTACTGTCCCCCCCCAATTCTCACTTCGTATCCCATGTTAGAGTTCACAGGTCAAATCAATGTATCAAGCGTGGTTTTTGCGGATTGTGCGTGTGAGCCGAGCGGGAAGGTAGAAGGTATAGGGTCGCCCGACCAAATATCGCAACGAATTCCCTTCTCGAACACATTCTATGAGATTGCGCCAATTGCACGAATGGGACCATTATATTCAATGCTTGATGAGAAAAGTGCTTAGCTATTTCCCATGACGAGCCCCCAATATGAACTGATCTAGTATTCTATTCTAGCACGACGTGCAATTACTGTACTTATTTGTTGATGCTTTATTCTAAATGTATACGTCACGTGGATTGCGCTTGCTGAGGAATTATTCTGCTTAGTTGTGACCAACTTAGTATGGCAGTAACCTAAAAGGAGAGAAGTATTGTCTTCGTCACAAAGCTTTGTTCCAATCTGCCTATCATTGATGGGCATCCCACAGGGTTCTGAGCTTTATAAGTCCGAAGTAATATGAGCGACGTCCTGAGTCTAGGAAGGGGTGCGGGATTCATACAGTCTCCTTCATAGTAATATAATTCTTTAGAGAACTTCTACATAAGTTCTCTTTGCGTGGTTTAAGCACAAGTATAGACAGCATGGAAGTCTGAAGTACAGAATAATTGACACGTCATACCAAATTAGATTATTAGACCCGAATTTCGACGCCAGATCTGAATGCTATTCGGCTCCGAGACAGAAAATGATCTCCTCCCGTGTTTAGTTGTAAAGGGTGTAGAGTCGAGTGACGATTTCCTAAAAGGCCTCACTAACAAATTCGGCTAGAGCCTCGCAAAAGACAGCCAATCTGCCACCTGTTCCATGATTCTCCTAACTCCAATCTCCCTTAAGAGAGGCGTTCGTTTTGCACATCTGACGAACGTGGAGATGTGCTGTGTCGATTCATGAGGTACACCGTCATCAAGACAGGAGTCCGGGTTCTGTCAATCACTAATTGAGTTACTGCTGTATGTCTGAGATTTATGCTGGCAGAGAGGATACAATTCGGGCCTTCTCTTGCACCAAAGATATCGACGCACGTCAGACATTTTGAACGTCAAAATCTTAGGATCCACGTTGTGTCAGTGTAACCATCCAGGATATCAAAGTTCCAGTGAAGAAGATCGTGGCGTTTGTGCAAAGTATAATGACTCTATTACCTCGTCACTCGTTCTCTTCCCACTCTTTTTCCAATCTGGCAGGAATATGCGCCCTTATGAGTATTGATAATCCCCTGCATGCTGCGATATATAGCCAGCTAAGCCTCGGTTAAGCAACTGCATCGTTGAGCTCTCCCCCAGCCTATCCGTAGTCCAATTAGATGAGTTCCTCCCTTCACGGTCGCGAATTATAGATATTGCGCTTCTACGTACAGTGATACGCAGGATGCAGGGCCTAACCCCCTCGTACCTACTATTCTCGGTGCCGCCCCCCCAGTCTTCCAGCTCCCTTGCGACCGACGTAATAAGGGTATTTCTTGTGCACCGTGCTTCGATGATTTGAACATAATGTGCGCGACATGTTCTATCGCACGCCCCCACCATGGACCATAACTCAGAGACGGACGTTGCCCGGGTCCTTATCACTTTTCTTTAGCTTTCTGGTTACCTTGCAGACCCAAATTACATTCTGTTATAGATTAAGCTGTGACGTATTTTTCGTCTTGTCATAGACGGAGTTGCGAACGCCCTGATGATAATTCAATGTGATGCTCTCTATTGACTCCGAATTCATTGTGCGTCGAAGAAGATCATTGCCCTTTCCGTCTCGACTTGTGCAGGTCTTTGAATCATTTGACGGAGTTCAGGGATGGTACTCTGTGATGCGTGATTGCAGTTCTGAGGACTTTTTCGATGTGAGGTTTTTGATGAAGCGTAGAACATATGCCATTTCTATTTTGATAGAGACTGTTGTATTGTGTCGTTTCCAATCGAGTATCTCCTTCACGTTATTTTGCCATGATGTTGATGTTGTGAAAGATGGTTGCTCATTCCTTCGTTGTTGCTCGGTAGGACGAAAAGTTGACAAGTTTCAGGCCACTTTGCCAGTGGCTTTCTTTATGAAAGTTGGACCTTTCCACCATATGTGGTTGATGAAGTTGTTCTTATCTACTCCACGTGTAGCGCAGTCTGCCGGATTGTCCGTGCTGTTGACGTATCCAAGTCGTACTGGTGCTGAGATTTCGGATACAATTCTTCTAACTTCTTCTACACGATTCTTTACCAGTACTCTTACTGCTCTCTCGATCGGATGAGACTATAGCCAGCTAAGAACAAATGTTGAATCTGAGAGAAAGAATCACTTCTTCGATTAGTGTGCGATGATGTATTGCTGAGAAAATGCTGTGTGCTAGTCGGGTTGCTATTGTTAGAGGCGTTCAGCTCTAGCTTTGGAACTGTCATTCTCTCTTTTATGAGGAGATATGTTTCGCTCTTCCAGTAAACAGATTTCAGAGACACGATCTATGCGCAGGTTGCCATTCTTGTGTACTGGCGTCTGACAACAAAACAAGTCTTGACCTAGTTCCGATTTGTGCAACCTTTCTTGGCTTTAGTGTAGAAGAAATCTTCAATTGATTCCGTGATGTTTTTCCATTGAGTCTGATGTTCTTTTGACAGCGCACTGTCCCACTGGTAGTTGAATTTCCACAACTGTTGTAGGAATCTTTTTCCAGCCAGCGTTAATGGCGTAAGCCATCCTAGAGGGTCATAAACGGCTGCAACTTGTTCTGAGACTGATCGCATCCTATCTTCGAGTATCAGCATTTGAGGGTTATTTGGTCGTTCCTTGTGTTCCATGTGATTCCTAGTACTTTGGCTTCGTCTGACGTGCACAAATCTATTGGTGCAATTTGATTTTTCAGAACACTGTTGTTTGACTGAAACTGTCGTAGATTCATACAGTAGCGGTCAAAAGTTTGGAAACTTTTTTATTTTTGATCTAGCGTAGCCAATAGACAATGAAATTGTCCCGAATTCACATATTATATTCAGAATCAAGTGTAGATTACGATGGGCAACATAATTTTTTGAAAACGAGAATCGCATTTGAAAAATACGAATTTTTATAAGAAATGGCGCGTCAAAAGTTTGGAAACTTCCTCAATTCCAAAGCGAATTCGGCAAAATAGCTCTCAAATCCACATGATAAATTAGTTATTCGATGAGTAGCTTTGAATTTCTATGTCAGCGTCGTTTTTATTGACATGGAGTTGATTATAAAATAATTTTAGGACTTTTAAGTCGAACCCTACACACTGTGAACTAAATCACATTGTTTGGTGGGATTCTTAACTGGAATGTGGGTTGAGCGACATGCCAGTTCTTTGGGATGTAGAACTCAATTAGACTTTAGATCTTGACTTGGTCGCTTCATAACAGCTTCTTTTTCTGTATATTTTCCGGCTCGTTCTGGCTACCGAAGGGAAGCACTGTATTTCACAGACTATTCTTGTATTTAGCCCACATTTCGCTGGATAGATAGAACTGCGGAATCGCCGAATGGTCAGACACATCTTCATCCAGGACAACACTCCCACTATTTCTGACTGTAGGAATCTTATGCTCAAAATGAGGTCCCCATCTAACAAAACACTTCAAGGTCCACACATATTTTCTAGGAAGAGAAATCCCATTCGTTGCTGAATGGAAGCAGTTTGGCCATTCTGCTCTTGAAGCCCAACAATGGCTTCTTGTTAGGACATCATCCGTAATATTCACCAGGTCGCGGCCGATGTTGTGCTGCACTTGGACTTTTCATATGATTAGAAAAAACCAGAAAAAGTTGTCTCTTAGTTGGGGATGTCGGGGGTACGGGACGTGCCAACCACCCTTCGAAGTATTTGAAGAGAGCCAATTTTCTTGTGAAATTTTTTTGTGAATGATCATTCTTCTTATGCTTACTCGACTCCAATAACGCTAGAAACATCGATAATATTGCCTCTGTAAAGACTGAGCTACTAGGAAACAATTCCAATTTCATATTTCGGGTTGTAGGGTTTGAAAAAGAAATCCCATCGAGAAACTGCTTCCTTTTCCTACTCAATATTCAATGGTTGAGCAGAATTAACAGAAAAAGGGAACATCGAAGGGCAGCAATCATTTTGATGAGGGAAACAAAAAGTTTCCAAACTTCTGACGCGTCATTATTTGAAAAAAAATCTTATTTTTCAAATATGATTTTGGATTTTCAGGAATTATTCCTCCCATCGTATTCTGGACTTGATTTTGTATGTAAACTCTGAGTTTGAGGCAATTTCGTAATGTGTCGGCCCCGCTATATCAAAAATAAAGTTTCCAAGCTTTTGACCGCTACTGTACTTAGTTGATTAAAACAACATTTTTGTGTCTTCATAAACTTTCAGAGCTCCACTCGTTGAAGAAGTTCTTACTGTGAGGCTGTCGACATCGATAGTGTCCTCTATGTCTTTTGCAAGCTGTATTTCTTCCACCATTGTCCTAAAGCGATGGCTGATGGTGCCTGCAAGTAGAATGGAGAGCAGTTGAGTCCAAAAGTCACCGTGTAAAACGGTATGTGACTAAGTTTGCTTGGTTGAGTGGTTTTCGGATGTTTCGGATCCACCTGAATCTTGTCGCATTTCGGTCTGACGGATGTATCCGAAATTGTAAGAAGGCTTTCTATATGTCGCTGCTGATCGCTGTATCTCCGATTCTGGAGCGGAGTAGAATGCCACATATTTTGGGTAGTATATCTAGACCTTGGTTGAAGAGGTCGTTAAGTGACGGACAACTTTCAGATGTGCTGATCAAAGACAATTCATAGTTTTGTAGTTTCCTTTTGGGGAGTGATAACTGCATGATGAGCTATATAGTGCCGATTTCTCCTTCAGTGTTTGTTCTATATCACTGACTTCTTCAATGATTCCTCGCTCCAACCGATCCATGACTGTGTTGTGATACTGATGGAGTATGGTTTCATTTGTAGCGAGAAAATTACCTTCAACCGTTGGTAGGCGAGTTGTTTGTTGTCTGGTACATGCTTGAAGTTGGGTTTCCATGAAAGACGTACACAGTAGTCAGCCTTTCTCGATACTTTCTTCATATGCTTTCCAAATTGCTTTATTTGCGATGTGAGTCCGGTAAACTCCTGAGATCCTGTTCTCTCAAATTCAAAAAATTGTTCCCAGGATTGTTCAGTATATGTCTTCGGGATAGAGTCCGCCTAGTTCTTTGCTTTGTGAATAATTTGAACAAGGCTTTTCCTCATCTCTTTGTTCTGTTGTACTTGGCAGTGGATGTGAAATCGTTGGTTGGTGTGGGGTTGGATGTGGTGGTGGTGGGAGTGGAGACGGGTGTATGGGTGTGGAGTAGGGGTGGTGATAATGGAGGTGTGGGGGTGGCAGTGGTGAACGGTAGAATGGATTGGGGATTGTACTGGGAGGTGAAGGTTCGTTTACCACGTCCTCGTATTGGCCTTTATCATCGACAGTGGTGTCTCCATGATTTGGCAACGACTTTGTGCATGTTGAAACTTGACCCTGTTTGATGATTGTCCAGTATAAGTTACATTTAGTAGATTTCTCAATTGTGGATTTTGTCTGATTAGCTGTGCATCTACTTGATGAATGGTTTAAACGAGAATTTTTCCAACATAAGCTTTTCGTGCTTTGCTCGTATAACTTCGTATAATGTATGCTAGGTTTATACTACACATTCCATCCGGACTGGCGCGCTACTAGTGGCTTTTGCTCTCCATTTCCAATAATTGAGAAAAGATCGGCGCACCCGAAAAGAGCTGTTGGCTGCACCCTTTTCATCGATGGATCAATGGATAGACAGATCTCGCTTTCATGGAGAAATTTCTGTCCTTCCTCGCTGAAGCTAGAACGTGCTAAAGGTGGCGTGATTGCTTCAATACGTGTGACCGTGAATATGTTTCGGTTTCCATTAACGTCCCACAACTTCATTGGCTGTGTTGCTACAGGTCCTTTTCAATGGTTTTCGTGATTCAAACGTATTGATTGTCAATTCGTATAACTTCGTATAATCGACGTTTGTGAGTGGAGGCGCATCGCTAGATTCGCACTGATAAAAGCGATCTGCTCCTTGATTTCTTTGTCGTGCCCGGTTCCAGGCACGGCTTGTACCGTCACCCACGTACCCCGTACATACGCGGTTGCCCAACCAACTAAAGAAGAACGTCATTAGATAAATCACTTCATAGTCTCCCTGGTAGGGTTGTACTTCGCTATGCTCGGTCAGAGAAGCATTAACGTTGTCGCTGCTACAGTGGAGCTGAGCCAGTACGTAAGTACGCGACCTGAGCGTTCTTGACTTGAACGTCTTGAATCTTTGGTCGCTAAAGCCTTTCTGAACCAAGAAAGGCAGCGACAGGACTGGCTATTTCCACTCGACTCTTGTCAAGCAGTAGTCACTGATTTAGCTTTTATGTATACATTGAGTTATAGAGTGTATGCCTAGAACTGTGCTTTCTTGTGTATTCAACCTCTATTCTGTAGCTGCAAGCAGATCGGCGTAACATGACTCACAGAACGGTCGCGGACTCACTACAAGATGTCCAGGATTGAGCGAGATCGCAAGGAGCGGCGAGCGCGGACGAGTCGATAGTGCCCGCGAACTGTGGTGGTGATGCGTTTTCAAATTTACCCACACAGTTCGCGGGCACTATCGACTCGGGCCGCGCTCGCCGCGGCCGCGCCCCAAATCGTGCAGAAAGTGGGGGAAGCCTTGTTTTCTCAGGTTTTGGTATGAAGATTGTTCTGCGGGAAAGGAGTCCCGCAGATTGAGGTGTGGTGTCCAGTAATCCCGCATGCTCTACAAGCCCCTTTGGTTACATTTTGCTGCTGTGTGGTCCTTTTGTCCGCAATTACGGCAGAGCTTTTGAGTCTTTATGATTTCAAGACGTTGGTCCAGTGATGGTATCTCAGTGCAGTTCTTCGCTGGATGCCCTGTTTTTCCGCAATAAAAGCAGGGTGCTAGTTGATTTTCGCTAGTTTCTGCTGAGTGGAAGCTTTCTTTCCTCCATCCCACTCGTTTCTCGCTTCCTCTTGTTGTTGGAGCTGTGACTTTCCACCTGCCTGATGATTCTCAGTTCGGCTTCAACAAATTCCTTTGCAGTTCGTAAAAGGGCCATAGTGTTCCAGGTTTCTTCTGTTTTACTTTGGTTTCTGCCGAAGGATCTGTCGTTGGACGTCTATGGAGAATTTCCCAAGCAGCTCTCTTTGTAGAAACGTATTGTCGATATGCTCCCCGTGAAGATCAAGTTGTGATGTAATGGAGAGGAGTTGCTCGCAAAGGGTTTCCTGGTCTTCTAGACTGTCGCTGTTGGCTTTCGCTGATTGAAGTTTACTCAAGAGTCGATCCACTAGGGCTTGGGTGTCTCCGTATTTCCTCTTCAAATGAGCAACGAGTGACTAGAGGATATGTTTTTCACTAGAAACTTGAAATTGCTTCACTGATTCTGTAGCTGCTCGTTGGAGAGCGTCCGTGAGATAATTGAGTTTGTAGATATTGCCGATGTTTCTCGAATGAATCGTGTGTTCGAACGTTTTCCAGAAAGTTTCCCATTCCCAAATCTCACCGCTGAACTTGGGAACGGGAACTGGTGCAAGTTTTACCTCTGAGATTTGGGGTGATCCCGAAAATGAAACCACTTCAAGAGCTTCGTTTTGTGCTGAAGTACTGTTAGATTTGTGAGCGCATTTTGCGCTTGGCCAAGCAGTTCCTGCGCTGCTTCGATGTTGGTGCCAATCCTTTGTGAAATTTCCGACGACGAATTGAGTGTTTCCGCGTCCAGGCTGTCGGCAGCTTTGGCATATTTCTCCAAGGAATTTTCAAGGGTGCCTAATTCAGCTTCGATTGCTACAATTGCTCGTCTGATTCTTCTTGCTCGATCCTCCACTTCTTCATCTCCTCGTATGCTGATTGCGCAAGAAGATTCTTGTGACTACGAATCACCGAGGACAAGCGATGAATGGATCGAGTTAAGATCCCTTGGACGAACTGACAAGGAAGACGCCATGAAAAGGTTTGACTTACGCTCTCGAGTCGTTGGAGGTCTTCTTGTTTTTGCCTCCGTCTATTCTGCTACTTTGTAAAGTCCAGATGCACCAGATGTGCGGTGATTCTGCCGCTACTGTTGTTGCCGGAGACGAGGTAGAACAACTAACTTTATTCTTACTGCAGAGGGTTTTTATACGACCCTCAAAACAATAATAAGAAGATCACTATTATCACTGCCATCGGTGGTTCATTTTCCTTGCTTTTCATAACAACCTTCGATTTATAATGGAGAATGGTTCTCTATAGAACGATTTTTCCAAAGACACTTGCAACAGTTTAAATACTCATTAGGAAGGAAACAATTCGAAGTTTCGAAATTTTCATATCCCATTCCATAAGGATGCAACTGAGAAAAGATATCACGTTTTGAATGCAACATATTAACTTCCGACTGCCCAGCTCCTTTTCCATCCCAATTGCCTGTCCATCAATGGTGGGCGGAAAGTATGTGAATAGACATAAATGACTGATACAAGGGGATTGTATTAATAACCACCGAAAGGAGGGTACAAAAAATAAATAAATTGGCGCAAGGCACGGTTGACCCTGTAGAACGGATAAGTTTAGCGCGTTATAGATTACCAGTTTGGCTTCGCACGCATTTGCGTGCATCACACAGGTATGAAACAGGGCCATGGACAACTTTATGGAGCTTCGTGGTAAGCTCGGCCCACTTCGGTGCCACCCACCAATAGCAATTTGTCAGATCCTATCCACTTTCTTCCTGTCTCTGGGACTACTTGGAGCCGAATTGGGAAGTTTCGCGGCAAACTCGTCCCACTTTGGGGCACATCACCCCTTTCGGTAACGGTTGATATCCGTTTCTTTGCTAGACATTATGCACTTTTTCCCGGTCTCCGGGACTTCTTGGAACCAAGCTATAAATTTAGAAGCAAACCACGCCCACTTTTGCGCTCGCCACGCCCCTTCTTAACATTCGACTTCCCCGCCTTCTCCGGCCTCTATCCACCTTTTCCACGCTCTCTAAGACTTCTGGGGACAGAATTATGAGGACTTCTAGGACGCTCTCAAGTTCAGGACACACTTTGCCCATTGCGAGAGGCCTTCGCCCACGTCATGTCCTGAGAACACCTTGAACATTGCTTCACCATACCAACTTTTTTCTACTCTCTAGGTTTTCTCCAAACCGAGTTACGAATTTTTTCATAAAGAATTGCTTCTGAAGGGGCCCACCGGAGGTGGATCTCCCTAATTCAATCTGGCTTACCAATGCACATCTTGATCCAATTTTCCCCCAGTTCCATGGCTGTTTTGGGATAAAATTTGAAATTGGTCGTTATTACCGCTCATTTCAACGCACGACATGCCCACTGTGAGCGGCCCCGCCTGGCTGATGTGTCTTTTGTACCTCTAGAGAGAGGCCCACTAATCCCACACTTGAGCCAGACCCTGTGAGTTGTTCGCGGTTCAGGTCAACACGCCCACTTTTGCGCGTCGCCACGGCCCCTGGGGTCTTAACACATTCGACTCCCCGCTTCTCGGGCCTCTATCCACTATTGTCCACGCTCTCTAAGACTTCTGGGGACAGAATTATGAGGACTTCTAGGACGCTCTCAAGTTCAGGACACACTTTGCCCATTGCGAGAGGCCTTCGCCCACGTCATGTCCTGAGAACACCTTGAACATTGCTTCACCATACCAACTTTTTTCTACTCTCTAGGTTTTCTCCAAACCGAGTTACGAATTTTTTCATAAAGAATTGCTTCTGAAGGGGCCCACCGGAGGTGGATCTCCCTAATTCAATCTGGCTTACCAATGCACATCTTGATCCAATTTTCCCCCAGTTCCATGGCTGTTTTGGGATAAAATTTGAAATTGGTCGTTATTACCGCTCATTTCAACGCACGACATGCCCACTGTGAGCGGCCCCGCCTGGCTGATGTGTCTTTTGTACCTCTAGAGAGAGGCCCACTAATCCCACACTTGAGCCAGACCCTGTGAGTTGTTCGCTTAGTACCGAATTTCGTGACAGACGGACAAGCAGACACACGCACACACACACAGACAGACAGACATAGCGCATTAATATTGTATATAACCTCCCCTTCAAAAAGCGAGAAAGTGTCGGGTGCAGACCAAACACCACAACTGACGACGGCCTCCAAGTAAATCTGGTTAGAAGTTGTTCATAGTGATAGCTGATTTCTGGTAAATGATAGTTGTAATTAGTGACAACTGATAGAATACAACTGCAACAGGCTAATCATTTCATTGGCAGAAAACATTAACATTTTGTGAAGGCCGTCGTCACTTGTGGTGCATGGTCTGCACCCGACACTTTCTCGCTTTTTGAAGGAGAATTTAGTAGGGATGCCTAAGAAGAGCAGATCTGACCAGTGGTGTTTTCTTGATCAACACACCAAGACACATTATCAAACATCATTTGGTCAGAACGTCTCTATAACAGTCTTTTCTTTTAGTCTTTTCCATAAGGGCAGATCGTGCGATCTGCTCGTATGGAAAACATGGAGATTGTGCACGAAGATCTGTAGTTTACTAGCTTCAGCTCTCAGAATCTGATACTTTGGAGGAACTGGGAGGCAGTGAGGTATGGTACACTAATATAGAACACTGGCTAGCAAAAGAAGGGAAAGCACAGTTGCACCGCTTGGTAAACACAGAAGGGAAAGTCATGCTGGTTGTGACTTTGACGTTCAAGTGCACGATACTGGCTACGAGAACGATATCGGTGCTAGGAAAACCTCGAAGCTTTCTATATAAGGCAACGTAATCCAAACATGAATAACAGAAACGAATGCATCTCCATAATTGCCGACTTTTTGCCGTAAATTCAGCACTGTAAGTTATGACCTGGTTCATTAACCTGTGTGACATCTGGACAAATGTAGGTCCATCTCAAGCGGATGGGTAACATTTCGGATGTTTTGAGCCTCTTCCAGGCCTTTGAAAACGACGAGTTTGTCGATACGTTAGGCTGAATAAGTCATATAAAAGCTGTTCCGCAGCAATACCTAGTAAATGCTCGTGAAGAAGTGCCTAGGTTCGAAGAAAGCGGACGTGGAGAATGCACAATAGAATTCCAATGATGGTCGTAGACACGGTGAGGTGAAAAGCACATATCTGTAGACCACACAACAATCTCACATCTGTCCTTCCGTGCTGTCTTTAATATCACGTAGCTTTCGAATCGGATCTCTTGTTAGACCTCTCTGATAGATCACGCATTGGTGCTAACTTAGTTGGGGGGGGCCACGCGGCGGCGCGGCAGTCTGCTCACCTGGGCTCTCTCGAGCGAGACAGTGTAAACTCGAACATTCCAGCTTTTCACGCATGTCAAGTGACTGCCCCCCCCACCCCCTAGACTGCCTACACTCCCCCTGGCCCACGGATTTCCGAACATGCCAGGCGAGCAGACTGCCGCGCCGCCGCGTGCCCCCCCCAACTAAGTTAGCACCCCCGCATTTTCTCTCGAATTGGATTTGCAGAACATTACGCTTACCACCAATGATGAAACACAAGTTCGACATAATATTGCGCTGGACTACATTTCAAAAATTTACAGGACAACCCCTAAGACTGTCGGCTGTCACCACGAGAAAACAAATTCGTAAGTCGGCGATACGTATACCCACCAGATGAATTTCCAGCTGAATGCGTGTTGTAAAAGCGAGGTTGCAGAAGAAGCATTTGTGATCTGTATCGAGCTGCGGTAGGGCCTCTAACAATTCCTTGAGTGAGATGGGCATGTTACCTAAACAACGGACTAGTGGTTAATCAATTCCCAATCTTGACAAAGTGGTAACACAGATCCAGAACAACTGCTCAACACGATAATCTATTCATTTTATGAAACATTAAACAAAGTCCACGTTTCCTCTAGGGAAATACTTAAAGTGAAACAGATGAAGACAGTCATCTGTAAATGTGTCGCTAACGGTGGTATCCAGCACAGCCACATTGCAACCTTGCACCCGCCAGTTCCCCTTGAACCCCACCTTTGAATGATTGTGCATTAAGAGTTACTACTCTCTTGAAACTACAGAAACGAAACGCCTTTGTTTTCACTTATAGTTCATTTGAGATATTGCGAACATCTAGTATTTGTTAAATCAACTCCATTTCATATTTTTATCAACAATCGTCAATTTGAAAACAGATACGTCGATATTTATAAAAATAAAATATCAATATCTGATATAGTCTCTGCCATAAATGTCAGAAAAAAATGTCAAATAAGTTGAACAGAACCAAGTTTTTCTGACTGGAGGCGCGCAGCGCGACAAGCATATTATGGTACCCCAACGGTACGCGGTGCATCAGTGCAAACATCCATATAAGTGTTAACCTATTTTATGGAATGAATGAAACTATGCTGCAACAAACAAACAGCGAAATGCACAGAACAGCATGCTAAATATTTTGAAAAGCTTCCCGGTTTCCGGCGCCGCGCAGAGACCAGAATTTGCGCGCGGCAAAGTAATGAGACATATCTGCTTCGTTCACCAAAAAATGTGCGATGAGCATAATTCCATTTGTTCCGCCATCGTTGTGCGCCTTCGCAACGTGAACCTCCTGACCGACATCTGTAGGCCGATAACCACGGTGAGGAGGCGTGGGTTGGTGAATAAAATCATGAGCGCCTTGAAGGCGGTAACAAAACAAAGAACGTCAAATATGTTACTTTTCCATTCACACAGGGTCAGCTGAGATCTGTTGTGAAGTATCATCCCACTGAACGACGCTAAAAAACAAAGGGTCTCAGTTAGAATCATTGGAAAATTCCATTTTTGCAGTTGAGGTGAGCAAACGGGATGGACGGATATTTGCTTTTTATGGAAATCTCGGTATCGACTATTAAACCCATCAACTTCTTATATTGTGAGAAAAACATAAAAATGGAGC